TGCGGGGCAGCGGGCACAGCCCCGCCGGCAGACGGTCCCCGCGGCCGGGGACCGCGGGGCAAGGGCAAGACCTGTCGGCCCTTCAGCTTGCCGGATCTTTGGGCCGCTTCGTTAAGACACAGCACATCAAACGCTGCTTGACTTTTTTAACAGGTCAAAGCCAGCGACCGGGATGTGGTACCCAGGTGTATTTCTGAAATGCTGCCGTGCAGGGGTTTTTTGTGAATAAAGTGCACGCTCCTGAAAAATAGGCGTGTCTGTTAAATGCAGCTGAGGAGATTTCTTAAGCCGAGTCTAACTGGGGGAAATTCAGGAAGGCTGCCTGCAGCTTGTCACCTGAGCAATAGCCCTGGCTGTGCGCGTATCTGATCCCGCTGTATTGCAATATTGTAGTATTTCATCCTTCTTCAGTAGGTGTCGCCAAGTGAAAAATAACTGTTAAATAATTGTTAAAACCAGCACTGGCTATTTGCTGACTGCATCCTAAATGTGTGGAATGTATAGAAAGCTTACTAAAGATCCATAAAAGCCATGGCTTCGTAAAGCGTGCACATCAACCTCTCTTTAGGGGCCAGCTCAATGTTAAGGGACTCTTGCCTGTGCAAGGATTATAGGATTGGGCTGTGTTGAGTGAACAAAAAGAAACTTTCACAGAAAGGACTGACACCTAACAGAAGAAAAAACTGTAGTCAGGAAATGGCTGCGGCTGCTGCTGTGCACTGCTTTTAAAGTGGACCAGAGGAATAGCCGGAGATGTCAGAAAAGATCTATGCGACGGGGCTAGAAACTATGAGAAAGTAAACGACTCTGCTTTCTAGGAGTCACATTTGGGCTTTACAAGTTCGTAATCTCAATTTACCTGACACTAGGGATGCATTAGCAGCACTGTCTGAGTTACCTGGAAACGACTGTGTTTATCTGAGGTCATATAAACTTACTAAAAGTTCAGAAGACTTTCCCTCTGCTCAGTAATATTGTTCAACATAATTACATAGCTGGCATGTTCTCCGTGGGCGGGGGGGAGGAAGGAAAAAAAGGAGTGTTTAGAGAGTATTTTGAATAATTTTACAAGGAGCCAGAGTTTTGCTGGAAGCTAGTGTGATTTAGGTGTTTATAAAAAGCCGCTTTTAAAGATTTTATCCAAAGCAGTCAGGATGAGATACTGAGATTTTTAGGACCTGCTCGGCACCTCTGAAAATAAAGCCTGCAAGGCATTACTCTTTTGTTCTTGAATGTGACCTCTACATGGTACAGTCATCCATTGCGTAATGAATTTTTGGCTATAGTATAAAACAATGCTTAACAACTTAGTTTTATTCCCTGGGAGTTAATTGGCCATACATGTTCATAAGGCATGTAAACAAACAGAGCTACAGCCTAGAAACGCAGCAGGACGTATAAGGACCTGGAACGACTTTGCAGTCACTGTGCTTGTGTGAATCTGCTTGCAGGCAGAGTCATGCTTTGAAAAACGCCCTTATTAAGGACCTGCTTCTGTTCCCACTGTGCCTGGGCAGGTACACGGCGGCTGTTTTTGATTTCAGCAAGAGCCCTGCTTGACCACCATCTGAACCACTCACCAGCTCTTTGCAGAGGGAGGCAGTTGTCTCCAGAGCTGCAAAAGATCAACCCCCTGAAAACTCAGAGGGGGAAAAACTGAGAAAACTAAAATGGTGTTATTTTACACTTCTTTTTTTTAGGCCTTCCTGCAAAGTTTTCTTTGCCAAGGACCCTCTGAAGATAGTGCGTGCTCAGGGCCAATACATGTTTGATGAGAAAGGAGAAAAATACTTAGACTGTATCAACAACGTTGCACATGGTAAGCAGTTTAACTTGTAAGACTGCTTCTATTCCTTCATTTCTAATAGGGATCAGAACACACTTCTTCCAAGTGATGATGTTCACAGTGCTTCTCTGAATCTCCTTCTGTGGTTCAATAACTGACTGCTTGCTAGTAATAACTAAGAAAATAATTATTTTCTTCTTTAGTTGGCCACAGCCATCCATACGTGATAAAGGCTGCAACAAAACAGATGGAACTGCTCAATACAAATTCCCGGTTCCTGCATGACAACCTTGTTCAGTATGCGCAACGTCTCACAGCCACCCTGCCCGAGAAACTCTCTGTTTGCTATTTTGTTAACTCTGGGTATGTCCGAATATTTTTTTTTCCATTATGACTATTTTGCTCCTGTTTGAGATGGACACTCAGAACAGCTTGGTCTAAATCTTACTAAGTAGGACAAAAATATTTCCAGTACTGATGGAAGGATCCTTCCCATTTGCAGCTGTCATATTTAGTGTGATGGCTCAATGCAAGAGAGCCAAAACATGAAACTGGTCTGCTGAATGCTATGCAAAAAAGGGGGGAAAGGGAAAGAAAAGCAAATTAGACTGCAAATTGGTGAACGTTATGTACAGATTGATGAATGCTATCTGTAAATTGACATATGACCTTGAAAACGAGTAGTCTTCTTTAGACGGTCCCTTTAGTCTGTGATCGCTTGTGTTTCCAGAACAGACAACCTGCAGGGACTTGAGCAGAGGGGCTGCTACAGGTCAGGCTGGAAGTTTGAGTCTTCGTCCGGGGAGTAAATTTGTGTTCTCTGCTGCCTGATAGTGCAAGTGCTGAGGAGGACGGAGCTGTCGTGGAGGGTGGGAGACGGGGCTGGCACGCTGTTGTTTTTCGAGGGTTTGCGGCTGCATTGCGCTCTCAGCTGCAAAACGGTCTCATTTGTACCACGAGGAGGTAAATGTCTACAAGCAAACTGGGGGAGGGAAAGAAAGCATCTCTTTGTTTGCTGTTTATACAAAGAGCTGTTTTTTCTTTGCTCTCTTACATGGCATTTACAGTCTCAACCTTAGCATTGTAATCTGTGTAGTAACAGAGCCTGCTGTGTTGATTTATTATATCCATTAGTCCCATGCCTCCTCTTCTGTGTCAGAATACCATTTTAATTGGAAGCGCTTCCTCACTATTTTGCGGCTGTATCTGTTATTATGCAGGTCTGAAGCAAATGATCTTGCTTTACGACTGGCTCGGCAGTACCATGGGCACCAAGATGTGATCACCCTTGAAAAGTAAGTACATAGAGTAACTTATGTGAATGCAGCCAGCAACTCGTGCCATTACTTCGGAAGCGGCTTTGCAGCAGTCCCCTGCCGTTTGTACTCTACTGCCTGCTGAAAGAAAAGCTTTGTTGCTTTCATACTAGAACAGGTCAGGAAATCCCTTTTCCACATTTGGATAAACACAAGCTTTGAAGATCTCTGAAAAATAAGCTTGTCAGTCACCCCAGAAGGTCAATCACCTGTAACAGGGCATTTCCCACAGAGACTCCCAAAGCAATTCAGGCCAGAGACTTGAATGTTGGTTTTCAACATCAGTGAGTGGTCTGGCCACTGGGCTGCTCTGGAAAAGGGTTTTCTGTTTGTCACGGTCTGCTGGACATGTTTCTTTTTGTACAAATAAATATTCAGTGGTCAAGAAGAAAGATCCTGTAGCTCTGCAACAGTGCTGCACTGATGCTCAGCTCTCTTCCAGTGAACACAAGTACGCACACAAAACCAAACAGCTTCAAAATCAGGAGGCGCTGAGAGGGCTGTCAGCCATGGGGAAGGTGGCCGACCACATCTCTGGGTTTCCCTATCCTGGATGCAGCAGTAGGGTTGGTTATGCTGCTGTAGGGCTGGATCTTCTTCTCAGGTTGTGACTAGAATGTCCAGCCAGAGCAACTGCAAGAGCACGTGTCTCTATCTGAACGGCACAAAGCTTGTTTGACTCAGCCATGCTCAGATCCCTGTTAGCCCTCCTTGACTCATGTGGCCAAAATCTGGAGCCACTGAGAGTAGCTTCTGTCAGGAGAGGCTGAGGATGGAGCTGGCTCTGTCACTGTTGCACTGCAATGTCTTGTCTTCCTGAACGCCACAGGGTATTTCTTTGCCCAGGTCCCAAGGCTCTGTAGGCTTTTGCCATAGCTACCATCCCAGTCAGGGTGGGCTTTCTGTCCTTTCTTTGTGTCTATTGGCAGGTTTTGTTGACTGGCTAGTAGAAAGGTGTAACGAAGACAAAGGAGTTCAAAAACATCCTCTCTACCCTGTGTGTGTGCTACTATGAGATTGTGACATGTCTTTGATTTGGTTCGAGGTTCCCTTTGCTTCAAGTTTATGGCTGAATGAAAGTGTTTATTCCCTGAATGAAGCTGCTACACGCTTTAGGTTCAAAAGGCGCTGTTTCCTCATTTCTAAATCAAATTGGCCCCAGCAGTAACCAGCTTTAGCACTCTCTGCAATATAAAGCTTTTATATTCAAACAATATTCATCCTTACCCTGAAAGTGGCTTCTGCCAAACAGTGTAGCCTGTAGGGCCTTCAGGGCAGGTAGCGGTGTACTGCTGCTGCATAAGATCCCCACCTACCGATGCAATGCACGCTCTTGAGAGTCTTTGCAATGGTGTTGGGGTCTAGCTTGCAAAGCTTGGGGTGGCCAGCGTGGGGCCCACAGGCTGGAAATGAGGAAGCTGGACCCACCCTTCAGCTGCTATGTAAGGCCACTAGGGCAGCCACCTTAGAGGCGGTGCGGTCCAGGGGACATCATCGTGGTCTGTCCCCATGCTGGCACTTGATTTTATGCAAGAAAAAACCCCTCCTGGTTCCAGTCTTGCTAGTGAATTAAAGTCAACAGCAATTTCATATTGCCTTTGAGAGAAAGACTGGGATCAAGATCCCTTCACAAACAGTGCTACTGTGTTGCAGATACAGTTGCTTATTCTGGATTATTTATGGGCACAGCTGTAAATTTAGCTCTTCTGTACGTTTGGTGAAAAGTGACTTCGATATTTAACATTTATGCAGTGCTTACCATGGCCATGTTACATCTCTGATTGACATCAGTCCCTATAAATTTAATCAGCTGGGAAAGGACAGCAAGAAGGAGTTTGTGCATGTGGTAAGTGTGGGTTTTTGCTTTTTGTCATTTTTATGCCTGTTATGCAGCATATAGAATTACCCACTTCTGGTGTAAATATTCTTTCATTCTGTTTTGCTGATGCTAGAGTACATACACCTGGCTGTTTGTCAGTGGATTAAATAGAGCAAAACTGTTTGCTTTTAGATTTCTAAGAGGGCATTCAGCTGTGAGGCTGATGTCCTTCGTAGTGCTACAAGTTTCCTGAGTCACTGCACTGTATAGTTAAACAGTTTGAAGAAATTAGCCAATATCTGTTGTGTTGGTTTGGCTAACGATATGCAGGGCTTCCAAAAACTGGAAAGGCAGACCCCACAAGTTCACGCAGGTCTGGGTATAGAGCTCACGGGTGTCCAACGGAACGGGATACTGTTTGATTTTCAGCCTGAACTTGTGTATCTTAGAAAGTCAAAAATCATTCTCAGCCCACAGATGTACACCAAGCAGGTCTTTCTTACCTAGACTTCCTTGCGTTAACCACGCTGCCAAAGTAGTATCCACCTTTTTATACCACTTCCTTTCTCTTATTTACTGAACCCCTCCCAACACCGTTTGTAGAGGCTTGAAGGTCATACAGATTTGTACCGTGACTAGGACGCTGGGAGGGAAGTGACGGACTGGAAAACCCCATTCTCCAGTTGCAGAAATGGATCTTTCTGCAAGAATCTGAAATAAGATGATGGATGAAGACTCAGTATTGTGTCTTGGGGGAGAGGAGGGATGGTCTTGAAAGGTGGATGAGGTAGACAATGGCTCTTTCAACAGTTGTGTCCAGTAATGTTGAACACATCACAGGGCTGGACTGAATTTAAGCTCCTGTAAGCATTTTTGCAATTCCATGCAGAAATTCCAGCTGAACTAACTCCTATTATCTATCTGTGCGGAAAGACAGAAATGCAGAGCGATAGAGAAGAAAGTAAATGTTTCATAGAAGGATGGGCTTTAAAAAAAAAAAATCGGTCTTTTCAGGCTCCTTCTCCAGATATCTACAGAGGGAAATACAGGGAAGACGACCCAGATCCAGCAAGTGCTTATGCTGAAGAGGTGAAAAAGATTATTGAAGAAACGCAGAAGAATGGACGCAAGGTGTGTGTTTTGTGCTCTAGAAATGCTGAGGCTTCATCTATTAAGTGTGGCATGGGGGCATGAAACAGGCAACTAAGGACATGTTTCTTTACTCAGTTTCCCTTGCTTCCCTCTGCCCTTCATTTTTTCTATGGTGGGTTCTGTGTTCAAAATGGGCCATTTTTCTACCTGATGCTCTTATCATAATTTTTCTAGGCATCAATGAAAGGATCAATAATACAGTTGTAAATAAGCAGATACAACTAAAGCAGTTTAATTTCCTATTTTATGCATTGAATCAGTAGATTGTAAATATCTTAGGGCAAGCTTTGAGGTCAGCTGAGAAACTACATCACAAATTCTAGCAAGGATATATAAAAGTCTTCAAGACACGGAGAAAATATGCTAGATAAAATCTTGATACTACCTTTCTGAGTCTAGTAGCTTAAGATAACTTTGGAGTCATCTAAAAAGGGGAACATTTCAATCATATACAATATGACCTGGATAAAAACAGACAATTTCTGAACAGGCTTGCCTAAAACGTGTGTTAATGTTTTGTATGATGGCGTTTTGAGACATGTAGGGCATGATCCAAAGCCCACTGAAGTCACAGAAGACTTCACTGGAGATTGGAACAACATGTTCCCTTCTAGTCCAATGGACTTACATCACTCTTCTTTTAGTTTCTTCATCAACTTTTTTTTATTCTTTACTAACGGATAGTTTTGTTTTTTTCTTCCCTTGTTTCCTTTCTTTTGCATATTTCTTAGGTTTTGGTGACATAGACCTGTGGCAGGACAAGTTGTGCTAAAGGCTAAGCCTCACATGCTATGGGAAGCTTCGTACTCTTTGGCCGTAGCATGCCTCTTCAAATATAGTGTACGGTTCTTTACACGTTACTACTCGGCCTTGTTTCCAGGAAGACTGCACCAGCCCAGAGAGACCTCTTGATGCTCAGGGAGGGGTTCACAAGTGGTGTGGGGATGCAATCCCTTAAATAGCAGACTTATGCTGAGACTTTGGGGTAATATCGTATCTCTGCTGCATAGACCTCTGCTGTTGACAAGAAACGAATTTTGATATTCTGGTGTATCTGATCCACTGCTCTTACCCTTACTGACTTAAAATAACTTTCTTTTTCATTCCTAGCAACTGGAATTATTTCACCTGTAGAATTTTTCTCCTCTTTTGTCAAGTGCCTCATGCTGACATTTTACTTGTGTAGTTATTTGTGTTAGGCAGGGGTGCCCAAAGCGTAGCCTCAGGTCATCTTACAGTTCAGCTTCTACCCACCTCTACCTGGTGTTCAGGACTGAACAAAAAAGCGGATCACCACATGTACCCGTTACCGGGGAGCCTTGGCGTTAAGCAAGTTTCATTAACCTCTTGGGGAAAATGGCAAACACTGTTGTGCATCTCCTGTGAATTGAAATTTGTAAATAAATTTACATAGCTCCCAGGAGCCTGCTCCAACATCCACTGACACCAGTAAGTGTCTTCCACTTCCACAGCTGTAGAACTAGGGCTTAACGGAAGTCCTTGTATTCCCGTCAGGTTGCAAAGGTGGCCCTGGCTACTGCAAATTTGGGCACCCCAGATTACAAAATGAATAAATTCTTTAGCCATAGCTGTTCTCAAGAGCCCTCAGTTGTCCAACCTATTGCGTGATTAAATTAAGGCACATATTTAAACATTTATTTCTAGACTGTTAGATGTTTGCGCAAAGGCAAGCAGATGAACACAGTTCTCACCTGAGTTTGTTTTTTGTAGATTGCTGCCTTCATAGCAGAATCCATGCAGAGCTGTGGAGGCCAAGTAATTCCACCTGTGGGCTATTTCCAGAAAGTGGCAGAGTACGTACATCACTTCAAAAGGGCATAACTGGAAAATTAACCAAAGAAACAGGTTTTTCACTATAGGCTTATCCAATCAATTCAGCTTTCACCCTCTCTTGTTCTTGGCTATCTGTGGTTCCTTTCTACTTTTTGAAGAGTATGATTCTACTTCTATTTTTTTATGGAACATCAGCTGACTAATTGTTTTTAGCTGGATAATTATCTTTCCTTTTCTATCTTTAATCCTCAGGCCATAAGTTTGATGGAAGATGAAGTTGAACCATCGTAGATATAACGCTGCAGTACCATTACAGTACCCCTATTTTGCATCAAAACATCAGATTTTTTTCTTAACATTTAGCAAACTAAAAATTTTGTCAATTGAAATAGCTATAGCTGTGTTTCAGCAGCCACATTCTTTTTTTTTTTCCTAACCTGGTCTTACACTGGAGAATTTCTGTAGTACAAACTCCCTTGTCCTAGATTGCCTACCCGAGATGTGTACTGCAGCACTAGTCATTCAAGCTATTCTGTTTGTTTTCAGGTACGTGCGTGAGGCAGGTGGAGTGTTCATAGCTGATGAGGTCCAGGTTGGCTTTGGCAGAGTTGGGAAGCATTTTTGGGCATTCCAGCTGCAAGGCGAAGACTTTGTGCCTGACATTGTTACCATGGGAAAGCCCATTGGCAATGGCCACCCTATGTCTTGTGTGGTCACAACAAGGGAAATCGCTGAAAGTTTTGGTGCCTCCGGACTGGAGTATTTCAATACAGTAAGTTCGTAGGTGAAGGTTTGCCTTTTTTTCTTTTGGTCTGCATTTAGCAGTTAGAAGTTGTTCAGCTGATTCAGCTAACATCTGCATCCATCACTGCATCACATTACTAAGAGCTCGAGTCAACCGCAGTCTAATATCTAAAAGCAAGTGGAGAGGCTTTGAAATATGCTCTGTACCAAGTGGTATATCTTAATATGGACCAGCACTAGCTCTCTGGCAAGTCACGCATCTCGGTTCACATCCATACAGATAAATTCTTCCTTACTTCTCTCTCTCTCTTCCCACCCCCCGCCTCTGAAATGCTGACCATGTAAAATTTCATTTTCTAGGATAGGCGCTGTGCTGGTGGGGCTCATGTCCTGGCAGGCCTTGCTCTGCAGTTGTCGCCTAACAAAACAGTGACCCTTTACCAAAGGAAACATTTGAGCTGCATGCATGCCGCAGAGGAGCAGCTTTCTTCTTGTTTACCGAGTCCTCTTTCTGCTCCTGTGACTGAGCCTTCTTCCCAGCTACAATGAATCCCCCTGCTTTCAATGGAGTTTATACTCTCCAGTTCAAGAAGTATCAGATCTATCACCCACTGCTCTTCACAGGAGCATTTTGCCTGCACATGCAATCAGCAAACCATGAGAGCAGCTTGAACGCTTCAGCTGTGAAATCTTCAAATTACAGAAGCCTGAAGCAGAGGAAGAGGGAGCCCTCCCTTGGGCCTCTTACACTGCCCAAAGCGTGGGGGACAGTGCTCCACAGCCTGCATGGCACAAAATCCCCCCCTCTTCAAGCTTTCCTCATGACATGCCAAGCAGGAGAGGGCAAGTGAAAACTACATGGATAGGCACAGATGAATGTTCCTGACGGGTTTTGTTTTCCTATTTGTCTTTGCTATCAGTTTGGAGGCAATCCAGTGTCTTGTGCTATTGGTTTGGCTGTGCTGGAGGTAATAGAAAAAGAAGATCTCCAAGGAAATGCTACACGTGTAGGAAATTACCTCCTGGAGTTGCTGGCTGAGCAAAAGGAGAAACACCCCTTAGTGGGAGATATCAGGTGGGTGCCTTACAGCAACGTCAGAGAAGAAAAATAACTGTGCTAGAAAAATCAACAAGTTTGGAATGAGGGAAACGCAGAAACATTATGTCATGTTTATGCTACACCTCTTTTTTGAAATGGACTACCCAAAACTGATACTGTAAGGCAATATGTTTTTCAAAAAAGTTGTCCATCCATCTGCTTAGTTAGGTATAAGTGTAGCCACTAGAAAAGCTCTGGGAGAGAGTAGGAGAAAGAGCCATCTGCGTGCAATAGCCCAGTTGTCAGCACGCTGTTGGGATGATGGACACCTTGTTCGAACATCTGGTCCATTTCATTTGGAGATGTTAGTGTGGGTTTTCCTCATCTCATCTTACTACCATGATAACTGCCTTCAGGTTTTGGCAGGGGGGTTGGGTTGTGGGGGTTTTTTAGTTCTTGGTTTTGGTTATTTGTCTTCCACAGCTCCCTGGCTTGAGGTTTGCAGGATAAGAGAGAAAGAAAATTATTCTGTCATTCTTAACTGGCCACGTAGCCTTAATGAGCCAGCTAAATTTATGTATCCAGAAATATCTGTTATCCCACTCGATCGTCTGAAGTAGCCAGTGCCAAAAGACAACCAAAGAGAAAGTCTCCTCTCTTTCCTGTTCCTTCCCCACTTGCGCCCCAGGGAAGGGAACTGCAGTTGTTAGAAACAGGTTTTGCATTTGCAGCAGAAGGCTTGGGTTACCGATGCTGGATTTCACTTGTCTGTATCTTTTTTCTCTACTCCAGGGGTGTTGGATTGTTTGTTGGAGTGGATCTGGTGAAAGATCAACAAAAGCGAACACCAGCCACAGCTGAAGCCCTTCACCTTATTTACAAGTAAATGGTTTTTAAAGACTATGTGCAGTGATCAAACACTCCTAATATTCCCCAGCAGTTAGTCATTAATCTCAGCTTAGATTTGTCTAGCTTTTGATAACATGGTACTAGAAAAAGAAAAGTTTCAAAATCTAACTCAGCCTGAAGGGTCTGACAGGACACAATATAGTTTTATACCTGTGTCTAACACAGATGTTTCCTCTTTCCACAGGCTGAAAGAGCATCAAATCCTTCTTAGTGCAGATGGACCCCACAGAAATATACTAAAATTTAAACCACCAATGTGTTTCACAATGGAAGATGCAAAACACGTAGTGGAGACAATTGATGCACTTCTCACAGGTATGTATGCTTTAGTGCTCAAAGGAGTACTCTTCTTTGTTCATTTCCAGATGATCCGTTAGAAACACCAGCCACCATAATCTAGGCCGTTACATGCAAGGGAAAGTAATCAATTACATTTCTTACCACTTGTCCAAACTGCTGTTCTTAATGCCAATTATTATAAACAAATAAAAAGTCCCATATGTACTTCATCCAAACTTTTAGGCAAAATCCTGCTCTTGATCCTTTCTGTCACAGACTCGGTGTTACTACTCATTTCTGGTCACATATGCTATATGTTAAGGAGCGAATATATTAATTCAGTACAGGCCTGAAAGGCACTGGTGAAACTTTCCATAATGTGCTCTACCTTTTTTTTTTCTTTTTTTTCTTTTAACTGGCGAACTGGAACATGATTGTCTCACTCAAATTTAGCCTGAAGGTTTTCAGGCTCTATTTATCTTCTACCTGGGAACCAATCCAGGGGAAAATAACGTCAGGTATACTATTAGCATAAGGACTCTCCAAGCCCATGCTACATTGAATGCTCCCGTCTCTTGAGATTATAACAACTGGAGTTAGACTAGCACGAACCTGCTGGACAAAGGCAGAATTCAGCTCTGAAAGGTCTATCTGAATCCCCATGCTACAGCCAAGCTGCTAATTTCGTTCTTTTCTCTAAACACCTCCAAGCTACACAGTCCTGATACATTAATCACGTTGCCTCAGAAAAATGTTTTAGGAAGTATTCATCATTCTTCAGTTATTATTCTGTGTGACAAATGCCCAGAGGAATAGCTGATTAGGTATTTTTTTACTTCAGCCAGCTGTTAAATTGACTGTATGCTTACTTACCCCTGGTTCTTTCTAATTTAATTATTTTATTACCTTTTTTAGAAATGGAAGAGGCAACTGGAATGAAGACAGAAAATAATGCACAGTGTAAAAGAAAAGTATGTTTTGAATTTTTTTTAACTGTTACTCAGATAGGTGTTTGGCAAAGCAAGTATAAATTACTTCGGTAGAGCACACCTTCATTTTTGGTGGTGTGAGTGGTTCTGTGCCTTGAAACTGAGCTCAGACTGTAACCCGCTACTAGAAACCTGAGAGGATTGTGTTACTGGGGCAAATCTAAAAAGAGCTGAGTAATCAGACCTACAACGAGAAACATGTTCTAGACAAGCCCCTCGTTTTGTCTGTCTTATGTGCAAACAAGACCAACCAGACTTGGGGCTGTGCAAAATTGCGAGCTCAGCAGTCAACAATTTTACTAGTTCTAGGTATTGCGTGCTACTGATGGTCATTTGGCTTTCTAAGCAAGCCTTCAGCCTGGAAAGTGTCCCAAGTTTTCAGGGGGTTCCAAGGATTTCGTTTCCACCGTAGCTCTTTGAGTATGAATGCCTGACATGCATCTAAATTAGGACTTCTTGGGTTGCAGCCCCAACTTCGGATAAATCAATATAATTTCTCACACCCTTAAAAACACGTCACCCGCTGTGTTGTAGGAAAGCTTGCTGAGCTGTCCCTTGGTGAGTTTTCCAGTGATGCTGCAAATGGTGAGAAGGCAAAAGCTCAGTTGTCTAGGGATGTAGTAATTAAGGCAGAGACCCCATGGATTATTGGCTATCTAGGTTATCCTAGATTCGGAGCGCAAGCCTCCTCTTACAGACATTTGTACACATTCGGTTCAATTTCTTTCAAAGCTAGAAGCTGTGCCACTAAAAGAGGACAGTCAGGCAGAGCTGCCTAATGGGAACCAAGTCCAATGGCTGCCTGTTGGAAGACATGCACGTGCTTTCACTGACATTTCATTTCTGTTTCAGACAACTGAAGAGAGTTCTCAACCAGGAGGTGCAAATGAAAGCATCGGCCACATGAATGGAGCTGCCTGCAGACAAGAAAATAGGCTTTATTCTAAAAAACGCTCAGTGCCAAGTAAAAGAATAAGAACATGAAGAGGGAAAGTTCCTTCATTCAGTTTGAATTTGTGTCCGGCTTGCTTTTGAGATGAAGAGTGCAATAGCCCGAGTCCTAGGATCTGTTTGAAGCCTAGTCCTAGCTTCCATAAACTGGCTGAATTCCTATTAGCTTCAGTAGGAGTTTAAAATACCTTTTCAGATACATGAGAACTGCACCATGTGGCTTGAAATCTAGATGTGATGGAACAGACCAGTGATACACAAATACTTTGGTGCTGATGGCAGGCTTGACATAGGTGCACAAACTCAGTGAAAACTGTGGATTTACCTGTATTACACAGAATCTGAATTGCTTAACCACCATACAAGCAAATGCCAATCCTATTAAGTTTAAAATTATATGTTTAACATGCTATTTTTACAATATTTTAAATTTCAATATGTAATATTGAGATAATTACTTCCCATGTTTTAATGGCTGAGTTCACAAAACAATGCTCGAGAGAGAAATCATTATTATCTTCCAGTGTAACTTAGGTCCTATGGACCATATTCCCAGCTGATGTAAATTGGTGTAGCTTTGTTAATGTAAACGACG